AGTTCCTCATATAGAACACACATGGATTCACCTACCAGAGTGAGTAGCTCGAAGGGCTACACAGCACCAGGGTGGCAGCTTGAAGGGCACCAGTGCCATAGTGCATGAGGCTGAAATGTCTGTTATCAGGGTGAGCAGCGGGCATTGTCCCTTTTCTGAGCCATCCCACTGCATGGGCATACAGCCAGTACACTGGTGCCATATTTGAGTTTCCATCAACCTGGATAACACAGTTTGACCCACATCGGAGATTTCCAGAAACTCTCCCCCCCACCCCCAACTAAGGATTCCATCCAAATGGCTTTCCCATATGAATGGCTGGTCTTAGCTCCACCTTCACAACTTCCCAAATCCTATCAAACAAGCAACAGCTGGCCTCAGTGAGCTCTAGGCCCAGCCCAAGCACCGGCCATTAGTTTCATAGCTTGGCTTCCCTTGGAAATCTCCAAACCCAGCACAATTACCAGCCTTCTCAGATTACTTTATAGCTCAAGAAGTGGGGCCCCAGGACAAACATAAATGGAGGCTGATCTTGGCCTGCACCACCGAGGAAATACCAGGGCCAGCACATCCAGTGGACAGCTACATACCACTTTGGAGCACTGCTACCCTTCTACTCCACAGAGGGGCAGAGGTTGGTGATAAGTGCTCACAGCATTCCTTGCAGCTCACTGGCCTGGGTAAATCCCTTGTCTACACCTGGAGTATTCAGCTTGGGTGACAGGGGGGCTGTGCCACTGGACCCTACAGGATACACCTACTACATTAGGCCATGCTACCAAGGCAGGAAGCTGCATAGCAGCTCTACCTAATATAAAGACACAAACACAGAAAGGCTGCCAAAATGAGGACACAAAGAAACATGGCCCAAATGAAAAAACAGATCAAAACTCCAGAAAAGGAGCTACGTGAAATGGAGATAAGCATTCTATCATATGCAGAGTTCAAAATACTGTTTAGAAGGATTCTCAAGGAACTTATTGAGGACCTCAGCAGTATAAAAAAGATCCAGTCAGAAATGAAGGATTCACTAATTGAAATAAAGAATAATTTACAAGGAAACAACAGTAGAGTGGATCAAGCTAAGAATCAAATGAGTGATTTGGAACATAAGGAAGAGAAAAACAACCACACAGAAAAACAAGAAAAAAAAAATGAGAGTAGTATAAGCAGCCTCTGGGACAACTTCAAAAGGTCCAACATTCACATGATAGGGGTGCCGGAAATAGAAGAGACAGAGCAAGTAATTGGAAACCTATTTAAAAAAATAATGAAATAAAACTTCCCTAATTTGACAAAGGAACTAGACACACAAATCCAGGAAACACAGAGTCCCAAAGAGATGGATGAAAAGAGGCCCACTACGACACACATCATAATTAAAATGTCAAAGGATAAAGATAATTAATCTTAAAAGCAGCAAGAGAAAAGACATTAGTTACATGCAGGGCAATTCCCACAAGATTGTCAACTGATTTCTTAAAAAAAAAAATTTGCAGTCTAGAAGGGATTAGCAAGAAATATTCAAAGTCACGCAAAGAGCAGGGACTGACAGCCAAGGTCGCTCTACCTAGCAAAGCAATCATTTAGAATCAAGGGCTGATAGAGAGCTTCCCAGACAAGAAAAAACTAAAAAAAGAGAGAAAAAAAAGGAGTTCATTGTAACTAAACGATTATTTACATGAAAAGCTAAAGGAACTCATTTACGAAAAACTAGAAGACCAAAACTATGAATAGTATCTATCAACAATTCAATCTAAAAAACAAACTAAGCAAACAAGAACAGAAACGGATTCATGGATACAGAGCATTTTTGATGGTTTCCAAATGGGAGGGGGTTGTGGGGGAAATGGATGAAGAGGTGAGGGGATTAAGAATACAATTAGGGCCCTGGCTGGGGTAGCTCAGCAGGCCTGCAAACCAGAAAATCGCGATTCGATTCCCAGTCAAGGCACATGCCTGGGTTGTAGGCCATTTCCCAGCAGGGGACACATAAGAGGCAACCAATAAGAGGCAACCATGCGTTGATATTTCTCTCCCTCTCTCCTTCCCTTCCCCTCTAAATATAAATAAAATCTTTAAAAAAAAAAGAATACAATTAGGTAGGTATAGAACAGCCATGGGGATATAAAGTACAGTATAGGAAATTGAGTAGCCAAAGAACTTATACGAGTGTTTATAGACATGAATGATGGGGGGGATTCCCTAAGGGAGTGGGGAGTGCTGGGTGGAGGGGACATGGGGAGAAATTAGGAAAACTGTAATAGTATAATCAACAAAATAGCATTAAAAATAGAAAAAAAATTAAATCTTTTCAAAAAGTTATAAACAAACTACTACCACACAATGTAATAAGTGCTATGTTTGAGTATGAGGTATGTCCGAAAGTATCCAGCCATGTAATATGAAAAAGAGACATTTATTGAAGATGATACAGGAAACATTATACATAGGACAATGACACATCAATCCCCTACAAAGTAGTCACACTGTGACTTCACAAACTTCTTCCAGGGTCTCTTCCACTGTTCAAAACACTACAAAATCCTTTGTTGGATTAGTCATCAACTGTCCTATCATATTGTCCTGAATCTCATCAATGGTCTGAAATCTCTTCCCACTCAAAGGTGTTTTAGTTTTGGGAAAAGGCAGAAGTCATAGGGTATCAAATCTGGGCTGCAGATGGGCTGAGTCACCTGGGTGATTTCATATTTCATCAAAACATTCTGCACAAAACATGATGCATGAGTGGGTGCATTGCCGTGATGAAGCTGCCATTCACCAGTTGCCCACAGCTACAGCTATTTCATCACATTACAATTCTCTACTGATGAGGAACTTTGAGGTGGTACTCCTTATGAATGTTTGGCCTAAACAGGTGTACTCACGATAGAGAACACCTTCCTAATAAAAAAACACAGTTAACATAGTCTTGATTTTGCTGTGACTTTGATGTACCTTCTTCGGGTGTGAAAAAACAGGTGACTTCCATCAGGACAACTGAGCATTCTTTTCTGCATCATAGTTGTAGACACACAATCCATCTCTGGTTTTGACCTTTTTGAGGAAATCTGGTTCATTGGTAGAAGTCTGCATCAAGTCATTAGCTACTACAGCACGATGTTCCTAATGCTCTGGTAGCTCAAGCTGCAGAGTGAATTTTGCCATGACACATTTTTGCCAAGATCCTGCGTCAATATCTTGGACACTGCAGATTTTGGAATCTCCAGATCAGCTTCTAGTTCTCACATTCACTGATGTTTGTTGATTGTAGCCCATACATGTTCAACATTCTCAGGTGTCCAGCCTGTTGCAGGCCTTCCTGAACATGGATCACTTTCAACAGATTCTTGACCATCACTGAAGCATTTGTGCCACATTTTTATTTGCGCTGCAACCATTGCATTGTTCCTAAAAGCCTCCTGAATCATCTGAATAGATTTTCAAAGCCATGTTCAAGCTTAACGCAAAATCTGATGCAGGTCCATAGCTCTATTCCCTCAGTCATTTTGAATGCAATGGCCACACTGTACGCATGCTCACTGAATGGCATCTACCATTTGCACTGACTAGTACAGTGAGGTTGTCAATTTTCACACATGTGCATTCCACCCCACTCTCCTTGACTGTCAGGTTACATCGATGTTGCTGAAACCATTCTATTAACAATGACTGGACTTTTTCCAGAAGACCTCATAGGTAGATCTGTCAAGACTCTGGCGCTGACCCCTCCATACACTGCTGTGACTGAGCCTGGGCAAACATGTTTGGAGCTATAAGTGATCCACAGCACGTGGCTACCTCTGCTGGGCCTGTTTGTGTGCAGAAAAAACTAGGCTGTGCACCAAGGCCGGCTTTACCAGCACCAGACCTGGGAGAGTGTCAGCTAAAGTCTCAGAGCTCTCAGAGATCTGCATTTGTTTTTAAACTTAATGAGCAGTATAACCTCAAGCTGTACTCAGCATCCCCACTTAGGCTCCATCAAGTGGGGTAAAGTAATCCCTGCAGGTGGGTCTATTGCTTCTCCTCAGCCTGATGCCATTTAGAGGGGAATGCTCTGCCTGAGAAAGATGGACTCTGCACTATGGGGAATGATTCAACAAAGGGATCCTGGTGACCATTCCTAGGTTTCTCCTCAGGGCCACCAGCCCTGACACATCACACATCTCCTCACACATCTCTAGTCCACCCTGCCCTCACTCTTGTGGAGCCCAGGGTAAGCGGCTACAAATGAAATCTTTGGCATTGGCCCTTTATGGGTCCCTCTGCATCTCCAGCTGTCTCTCCCTGGCAGACAGAAACCCTAGTTTTTCACAGCTGGATGTTATCTGGGTTCCTTGTATGGCTCTGGTGCTATAGTTTGGGGAGACCAGCTTGGGAGACCACACACATCAGAGGGACCCTCTGGCCACCGAAATATCCCTCTGGAACTTTAGCAACCATCCATGGGAGCTCAGCCAGCCCTCTTGCATCTCGTCACTCCCTACCAGTCTTGTTGAGGTTGAAGTGGTTTCTTCTGTCTGTCCATGATTATGACACTTCTCTCCAGCTAGTGGTCAGTTGGTTATTAAGGATGATTTCTCTACAATATGGTGGTAATTCACTATTGGTCCTGGGCAAAGGTTAGTATAGTTTCCACTTATTCCACTGCTATCTTAGGTCTCTCTTTACATTTAATTTTTAAATTTATATATCATTGGTTTTGTTTGAACTCTATTCTCTTCATTATTCTGTCTTTGACTTGTACCATAAAAATTAACTTAATTTCTGTGACTTTGTTATGCATGTAGTAGGTAAAGTATGCTTCCACTCTTCTTTATAGATATTTTCTTGTCATTCTCCCATTTTCTTGTATTTTCTTAGATGGAGCACTCAAAGTTGGTGGAGAAATCAAAATACTTATTTAATACATCTAAGCTAGAAAAGTTTATGAGATATCAATAATGTCAGGAAGGTAATTAGATAGGAGCCTGAAACTACGAGAATATAAATTGTATTACCTGGAGTATTTAAGGTAGCCTTCTAAAAGGTTGCTCCTGCTTCCGCATCCATTCTTCCAAGTGTGACTAGGTAATCTTTATAAAACAGCAGCCTGATCAAACTCCAAGAAAAGTTCCTAATTTCTTACAGAATAAAGTCCAAATTCTTTTAGCATGACATATGAGAACATCACTGACCTGCCCTATTATTGCATCTTTACCACTTTTCCCCAGCATCTTATTTTTTCAGCTATACTAAACTGCTTATGATTTTCTGAAACACTTTTCTTTGCAAATATGGCTTTTTTCTTCCTGGAATATTTTTATCTTGATCCTCCATTTGCAAATTCCACTCTTCCTTTAGCTTCAATTTAAGAATATTAAATATTTACACAAGTTCTACTATGTAGTAAGCATTTTTTCTCCAACATGAAGCCTTTTATGATTGTTTGCTATGTTATAGAGTCAATACTCCCACTTATGTGTGGTATTTATATATACATATATATACACACACACACATATGTACATATATATATGTATGTATATACTACCTCCACAAGACACACCTCAGATTGAAAGAGACACACAGACTAAAAGTAAGGAGGTAGAAAAGATTTCATGTAAATGGAAAGAAAAGAAAGGTGGTATAGCAATACTTTTATCTGACAAAATAGACTTAAAGGCTATAGGAGAAGACAAAGGATACTACATAATGATAAGAGGAACAATCCAACAAGAGAATATAACCCTAGTAAACATTTTCCCACCCAACATTGGAGCAACTAAACATGTAAACCAAATCTTGAAACACATAAAGGGACATATTGACGAAACTACATAGTCAGGGATTTTCTTTGGTCTCTGTCTTCCTCTGCAATTTCGGACAAGGAAAGGATCCTGTCTTTTTGGCAATACTTTATCCACAAAGTCTGGTGTAATGCCTAATACATTCTAAATGCTAAACAAATATTTACAAGATTGTTTATAAAAGTCTCAGTGAGACCATGGGGAAAACTGAGTTAGAATTTGTCTAAGAAAGTCTCAGTCAAAATTATACAGAAATGAATTTAAGAATGAAATCCATTATTCTTGGGAGGAAAAGGCCTCCTCTAATAACTCCTCCTGCACCTCTTTCATTCAATGAGTTTCTCGAGGTACTTGAAAGGGAATGTAAAACATCAAAAATACACTCGATTTTGTATCCTAAATGGGGCATAAACCAGGGTCTAATGTAGTCAACTTAGGCTATGGGCTCCCAAGTATTTAAATATCTTTATTCATCGGTGCATTACAGTTGGCACCTGTCGCCACTTGTTTGGTGTATACTTTATTCAACACAAAGGTAAAGTAACCATTTTGGGGGTATTTCTCCTCAGCCCTTCAATAGCTTTTCTCCTCCTAACCAGCCTTCAGAAGTTTGTAAAATGGGCAGGGTTAGCTCAGAACTTCACAGCGCTTCTTTTCAAAATGACTACATGAAGCCGTGCTAACCGACAGTGGCTAAAGGTTTTAGAGGCATCCACAAAAAATATCTGTGTGAAAACTAAGAGTAAGCAAGTAAAAAAAAATAAGAAAAGTGGGATTGAAGGCTGAGTGGAGAATGGCTTTACCGCTATGAGAACTACCCCCCCTTCCCATTTCACCCACTCGTTACTAAAATGCAATTAAATTCCGTTCAATTTCCTATTTCTCATGCAAGAAAGTACAACTGCCCGCCACCCCGCTCCCAGATGGCCACACCTGGTGTATTAGCTGAAGGATCTCCAACTCCCGCCACAGGTTTGGCCTGCGTCCTGCCCAAAACGGAAGTGACTTCAAAGGGACAAACCGAAAGTACGAGAGTTCAAACACCAGGTATCTACAACCCCTGTGGTGTTCTGAGAAAACTGCTCTGACTACTTCGCTCTTCCAGTCCTCATTTCTTCTGTAACAGCGGAGAAAAGAACTCACCCCAACCTCGAGACAACTAGATCTCCTCCAAACTCCAAATGATTCAAGTTTGCCCCTTCTCACTGGACGAGTAATCAAGGGTTGCTTCCTAAAACTACAATTCCCATCAGGCCGCCGTGAGAAGTAAAAGGATGGGCACAGGGACAAAGCGTATTGGGAAAGGTAGTCTGCTTCAGGCCGAAAGGGGCCGTCACCCCGCCTTCCCCGAATTAGGCTGGAGAAACCAGGTGTTCGGCTTAGAACCCGTTACCCCAGATAGGAGGAGTCAAGCTTTTAAGCAGCATCCCTCACTTCTCCCCACATACAGGATGAAAATTTTTCTCTACCCCTGTAAAACATTATTAATACTCCTTGAAAAAAATGGTTGTCTCTCCAATATCTCCAGGTTACTGAAAACTCCCAGAACTCCCTCACCTCAGGCCCCAACTCGTGGGAAAAGGTGGCTTTTTTTCAAGTGGGCAAAATGGCTGTCCTCTCCGTTTTATCATTGGATCCCTTTTGCGTCCTTCAAGGGCGGCTACTAACCAGCGATTGGTTCTTTTTCCCTTGAGGGTGGAGGAAGAATTGGTAAGGCTCTCCCGCGGCCCAGGAGAAGATAAAGGGGTGGGGAAAAGGCCGTTTGTCTAGGTGTGATTGGATGATACTCATATCACTCTGAGGATGTACAGCCTAGGATTTGTCAACTCTCCCTCAAAGAGGACGAATAGGCGGGGCTAGTGTGTGGTGGGAAGGGGCGGGATTCTGCCAGCCGCGGCTGCCGCTGGAGCCGGTGTCCGGGCTGGTGATGGGGTTAATTCCCTTTCGTAAGACTCTAACTTGCACCCACCCAGCCCCGCAGTCGCCCTGCCGTGCCGCGCTCCAAACGCCTCCTCCTCCTCCTCCTCCTCAGTAACGCGGGTAAGAGATGCCCTCCCCTCTCCCCTCTAGCACTCGGGAATAACGCGCCTCGCTCCCCTCCCCCGCCGGCCAACCGGTAGCGCTAACGGAGAAGGAGGTAGGCAGCGGAAAGATGTGGTGTGTGAGAAGGTGGCCTCCCGGCCGAGCCGTTGGTGTTCCAGCCAGGGCCCCGCCGAAGTGCTTCTGCTGCTGCTGCCACCCCACTGGTAGGTCGGGTTCGGAAGGAGCCCGGCTCCTCTGGCCCGCCGCTGTGGGTGCAGCTGCGTTTACTACCTTTTCCTCACCACCCCCACCCGGGGACCATGTGAAAAGCAAACCCCTCAAGGCCTAGCAGAGGAGGCAGGGGAAAGGTTCCGTAGTCCCTGCCATGTCTGCTGCTGCGGTCCTTGCAGCCCCAGGGACTCGGGAACCAGTCACAGCAGGCCTGCCAGGAACGGTGCCGGGTTCTGCTCTCTCTGGTGGCTAGCGCCGCTGCCCCGGGCTCCCCGGCCCACCTCACGGCCACGGCCCCCAGCTTTACACCACTAGAATTTTTAGAAAGGGAATAAGGTTTTTCGACCGGTTGGTGAAATGTAGGTGCATCTTGCCTGTGGTACCAGAAAAAACAATGAGAAAATTAAAAAGAAAGTTGAATGACTGTCAGTGCCACGGACTCCAGGGGACAGATTTACCCACGTTAAGGGTGAGCCTTAGGCTGCCCCAAATCCCAGTGTGTTTGAAGTTTTTTGTCGTGTTCTCTCTCCTGTCTGTCTGCTGTCTCTCTTCTCCTCTTTTTTTTTTTTTTTTTTTGTTTGTTGCTAGGTGCAGAGGAGAGTGCCTCTGTTCTTTCATCTTGCTTTTTTATGTAGAAACTTGTATTGTTGAGGCTATCATTTCCCATGTATAATTGTCCTGGGATAGAAAGTCAGCTAGGTAAAAGGTGAAGAGGTGCTTTGTAAAAGAGTAAGGCTTGTTAGTAATTAGCAGATGATTTTTCTAATAAAGAATGTGTATGTATATTATATACATAATATCTCTAAGGTTATAGTTTGCCTAATTGTAATTCTGAAGAAACTCTTTGCTTTTAGCTTCAATGTCATTGATTACAATAACTTTTAAGTAATGAAACGATGGTTAAAGTCAAAGTGGAAGCCCACCTATGTATAATACTTGAAACAGTAAAAGCTATGTAATATTTAGTATAGCAGGATACTAGTATAACTAGAGTAGTTGCACACACCTCAGTTTAACAAACTTTGGTATATTTGGCCATATTTAAGAGCAAAGAGCGTCTTCCTTACATATCAGGTGCTCATCTTTTCACTCCTTGCTTTTTTGGCCTGGATAAATATGTCCTTAAATAATAGATTCTGTAATTTGTAGTAGACATGCCTGTAATCAGAGATAAAATTCTACACCCACTTCTAAGGCTTGTTACCAGAATAAACCTGGGTTCTGAAGAAATCTGAGTTTTGACTAAATGTTAGACAATTTCTTCAGGTCTGAGAAGATTATATGAATTTAGTGACCTTCCATATGCCATAATTAATATACCTACATAAATTGGCATAGATCCATAGATTCAGGGTCTGGAAGAAATTTGGATGTGTTATAATTTTAGAAGTGGAATGCATAATCCTGAAAGGTAAGTTCCCTCAGTTCCCCACAAAGTACCCATAGCATCATTCAACCTAGCATTTTCTAGAACTTATTGGTTAATTGATAAGTTATATAATTGATGGCTTCAGATCTTGTGTGCTTCATACACAGAAAAGACTGATACGAATATAAGGTTCCTCTACATTCTCTTCCTAGCTGTGGGACTCTTCTGTGGGCCTCAGTTCAGTTTTCCTAATCTGTGTATAAAGTGAAGAAAATAATGCTTAATTCATGGAGTTGTGAAGCCTAGAGGTGAAGTAGGTAAAGCCCCTAATACTGTGCCTAACACATAGTATGTATGATTAAATATTAACTATTGCTATTTTCATGGGTATTAAGAGAATAAGTTTTTCTTCACACACACAAGGTACTGCAGCCTCACAACATGTTCTGTCAATGGGGAGTACTATGGAGGTTTCATTTCTACAGTGACTTAAGTTAGGTGCAGTTTGCAGCTAGCCATTTTCAAAGTTAAAAGGCATGTGGGAAATTGATTATCCCCTACAGATGAGTTGCTTATTTTACAGAAGGATATTTTTTGTTTTTGCATTAAAATGCAAGTGTTTGTGGATTATATTTCAAATGGACTATTTGAAATAAAAATATGTGGTAAGTTATTGTAGTGGTAACTTATTGTAGTGTCTTTTCAATTTTATTTAGTGGTAATGTGTTTCAAGATCTAGTTCATATACAGTAGTTGCTATCCATACTCATTGTGCTACCAGGCAACTGGGAGGCAATCGTTGAACTCTTAATACAGAGTTAAGATTTAAAAAGTTGTTTGAATTCATTATAGCCATAGGTTGACTACAGTATTGTGGTTTTAATTTTCATTGCTTATCAATATTTGAGTGTTTCTTTTCTGTGAAAAAGCATGCCAGACATACCGTACCTTTCTTCTCCCATGCACTTTTAAAAATGGACTGGGTCTTCACACATAATAGTGTCCTTGGAGTTTGTACAGTTAGACAAATTTAAGATTAGCACGGAGGCAGTTTTATCATGAACTATTCTGACACTAATGTCTGGCCAGGGCTCAAGACAAGCTACAACTTAGGCTGAATAGTGAGCTGAGGTATATAATGTTATGGCAAGCTTCCCAATTTATTGAACCCAGTGCAACTGGATGCTTCTTCAAGAGTCTTACATGGAAGCAGCAGGAGAAAATTTTACAAAATTGAAGTAAGCTTTTCCAAATATTATGCAGAAGATAGGCATTGCCATACCTTGCCAAATAATAAGAGATTTTCTTATATTGGTCCTTTAGAGTAGCTGATCATACCCATTTGAGTTAATGTTGTTTTAATACCTCACAATAAAGAAGCACTGGGAGTTGATAACAATTTTGCTTTTCCACTCATCTTAAAAAAGATTTTATTTATTTATTTTTAGAGAGAGGGGAAGGAGGGAGAAACAGAAGGAGAGAAACATCAGTGTGTGGTTGTCTCTCACACACCCCCTACTGGGGACCTGTCCAGTGGATTCAGTGTGGCTCAATGGATTGAGTGCCAGCCTGCTAACCAAAGGGTTGCTGTTTCGATTCCCAGGCAGGACACATGTCTGGGTTGCAGGCCAGGTCCCTAGTAGGGGATACGTGAGAAGCAATCACATTGATGTTTCTCTCCCTCTCTCTGTCTTCCCCACTCTCTAAAAATAAATAAATAAACTGCTAAAATCTGAATAAGGTGGTTCATATCAATGTCAATCCTGGTTTTGATATTAAACTATACTTTAATAATGTTATTGGGGGAAACTGGACAAAGACTGCACACAACTTGCTGTACTGTTTTTTCAACTTGTGAATCTATAATTACTTAAAAGTTAGAACCTCAAGCACAGAAAAAATCCTTTATATGTGTGTATGCACACATATACACACATAATGTATATATACACATATATACATGTATACACACATTGATGTATATGAGCACATATATAAATATATGTATACATATATACATGTATATATTTTTATATGTGTGTATATACACATACACGTTCCTGTATAGAATTGAAAAAAAAGGTCCTCTGAAAATATACTTTTTTAAGTATATCCTCTGAAAATACAATTTATATTGTTCATTTGAGTTATTTTTACTAAGTCATATTCACATGTATCTGAGCACAGTAGAAATACCCCTGCATCAAACATGTCCAAGATGTAGTTTTTATTTTCATTTCATATGCCTTGTTTGCTTTAAATGCCAGTTCCTTTTTCATTCTTTTATTAGGTCTGGCTTCCCATTCATTTTCCAACCCCTTGTCATATAAAGTAAAAAGAATCAATACCAATCATCTATAATGTTCATTTTGTAGTTGCTATAAGGCTTGTGTTTTTTGAACAAATTCTTGGGAAAGAAATCAGGCAGATAATTTAGCCTTTGCTTGAACTATTCTAGTGACAAAGATACATTCCTAAGGAACTTGGCGTCTCTCTGTTAAGTTTCCTTGTTTCAGGGTCGTCATATTCACAGATAAACACACACATTTGATGTAGGGAGGGAGGACATAGAGAAGAGGAGATCCAACTGGTCCCAGACACAATTAAAACATTATCGTAAAGGTTCATCAGTGTAAATAATACCAGTTGCCTGTCCTATCCTTGTGGCCTCAGAATGTAGAAACCAAGGTGTAGATAGGTATGGAAGACTACCTGCTCAGGACTTATACTGATTGGCCCAGTTGTCCTAAAAAGGGGGAAGGGTGGAAGGGTAATGTTAGAGACATTCTCAACAGGTACTTGTCTCCCCTGTAAACTCCACCCGGGTTGTTTGGCACCCTCCTTAGGCTGCAAAGTTGTATTCCTTATTGTTGTTGCCTGAGAAACTATATCTAGTTCTCAAAACACATCAGATCTTGTCACAGAACTAGACAACTAGACCATAATGGTATCTTTGTGATTTTAGTTTTTCTCTTTCTTAGGGTGGTATGACCACAGGAAGGAAATGTTTTGAAGGACAATTTTAAAGCCTATTTTAGATCATTTTGATAACAAGTTGCTTTGAGAGAAGTGATGTTCAGACTTAAGCAATTTTACAATAGTACTCTGACAACTTCTGTGTCTTTTGAAGTCACACATTCATGTTTACAAAATTCAATACACTCAAAAGATTGTAAACTTTTTTTTTTTGGACTGGATAGAAAACTGAGCCAGTATGGAACTTATTACATTTCTAAAATTAAGTATTTGGAAAATCTGTATTGATGGAAAGCTTTTTAAAAAAATCAATGCATATACATAAAAATCAAACACTACAGTGGATCTGTAATTAATTGTATTGAGTATCATTCCCTTTTGTTTTATTACTGGTATTCATGAGTCTCTCTCTTTTTTAAAGATTTTATTTATTTATTTTTAGAGACAGGGGAAGGAAGGGAAATAAACATCTATTGATTGCCTCTTGCACCTTCCCAACCCAGGCATGTGCCTGGACCAGGAATAGAACCTGTGATGTTTTGGTCTGCAGGACAGTGCCCAGCCGACTGAACCACACCAGTCAGGGCCGTGATTCTCTTGAACACAGAATATTCTTAGCACCAGAAGTCAAATGGAGTGTCTTTTATGCTTTCATAAATTTATCAAAATCATGTCACATTGTCTTTTACGCATTAGAACATGAATAACCTGTCATTTTTTTTCACTTTTCTAAAAAGGAGACTTTGTCTTTCTTTTTTCTGATTGACAAACAATAATGTATCGTCATCGACATAGCCTCAAAGCTATTTAGTGTCTATTTAATAGAGATCTTTCCCTCAAAGATTTTCTCTGGTATTCTTGTGTCCTGCTCTCATCCTGGGACTTATCTTCACTGCCTTCCTGGATTGAATACTGTGGATCCCTCCTCTTTCTTGGTTTTTATACTCTTGCTAGGTAATAGCCTAAGGTATTTTCCCAAGAAAGGTTGCTTAGGAAGTAAACCTTTTGAAACCTCATATGCCTGAAGTCTTTATTTTGCCATCATGCCTGATAGTGTAGAACAGCAATTATCAACCTTTTTCATCTCATGGAGCACATAAGGAACTTCACTAATATTCTGAAGCACACCAAAAAAATGTATCTTTTTTTACCAACCTGACAAAAAATGGGTAAAATTTGGATTGATTTACCAAAAAATGATAATTGTAATTACCTCCCTTTTGCTCCAAAATGACTTTTTAAAAAAATCAGGTGGCTATACTTGTATATAGAGATTTCAGATAACCAAGAATTAACCTGTAAGATGCATCTCTGGTATATGTCCTCTATATTTATGATTCAAGACAGGACATTCACACCTGATTGCTGTTGTCTTTTTATTTGACAGTCTAAGGGAAAAGAAACAAGGTCATTGCCCTTGACTAAATAGTCAGGTAATTCCATGTTTTCAAATTTTTTGCAGCACACCAGTTGAAAATCACTGGTATAGAAGGCTAAGTTCAAAATCATTTTCCCCTTGTACTTAAATACATTGCTGGTGTCTTCTAGCATCTGGGTTGCTTTTATGAAACCTGCTGCTGAAATTTTCCAAGCATACACAAAATTTGATCTATTACTGAATTCTGTAACTATGAATTAACATTTTGTATTGTTTGCTTTATCCTATATCTGTCAGTCCATTTTGATACATTTCAAAATTGCAAGGATCATTGTACCTCACTCTTGAACACTTTAGCATACATATAATTGGCTGAAGTTCAATATTCAATTACTTGTTTATAGGTAGAGAGGCATACAGAAAAATGCACAAATCACAAATGTACCATTTCAGTGGGTTTTTGACAAATTGTATATATCCCCATAACCCATATGTCTACCCAAAATAGAATTACCATAACCCCAAGAAACAAGAATCACAAGTTCTGATTCTTTTCCACCATATATTTTCCTGTGCTAGGAATTAAATAAATAGAATCATACAATACAAAGAGGCAAAAGTAGGTTTACAATTGTGAGTTGTAACACAGTTACACACAGTTTATTCTTGAAACACAGCTACCTGAAACACAGTTTATTCTTGTGTTATTGATTAATTTTTGTATTATCTTCCATACAAACAACTATAGACCTACCTTTGCCCAACCCTTGATGGCTCCAGTGTGAGGCTTTCACTCAACATGTATTTCAGATTTATGCATGTTGTTGAATGCATGAATAGTTCATTTTTATTACAGAATATTTTGTACAGATAAGCAGTTTGTTTTTATGTTCTCATGATGGCCACCTGTGTGATGTTTTTGGTTTTCAGTTATTATAAATAAAGCTGTGTAACTCACAAGAGTATTTGAAAATGTTTTAAATACCTAACATGCAGTATGGTGCACAAAAACTGCATTTCTTCTTTATTCTTGTTCTTAAAGAGCAGACATTTTTTTTAAATATTTTATTTCTTTAAAAACTTTTTTTTTTTTTTTAGAGAGAGGGGAAGGGAAGGAGAAAGGGAGGGAGAGAAACATCAGTGTGTGGTTGCCTCTCACATGGCCCCCACTGGGGACCCAGCCTGCAGCCTAGGCATATGCCCTGACTAGAAATTCAACCACAACCCTTTGTTTTATAGCCTGTGCTCAATCCACTGAGCTACACCAGCCAGGGCTATTCTATTCTTGTTTTTAAATTTTGATTAATACAAAATTAAGACATAGCTTAGCCGAGAATATTGTCATGCTTTTTATGATTTCTTGCTATTTTCAGTAATATGAAGAGCAAGTAGGAAGATTTTTGAATCATCCACTTTTTAAAATTTTGAACATTTTTGTTGAAACCTTAGAATTGACCTGTTTTTCCTAGTCCATTTAGGGATTTTGGTAATTGGGCATTTATATTAATTGGGTATAATTAAGAGTGTGTCTTTCCTAGAAGTTAGCATTTCACCATATAAAGTCACTGAGTTTCAGAGGTAGAAATCTTTAAAGAATATATTGATCTGACATTAACTTTATATATGCATTACCCTTGATCTTGAGAAGATTGAATTTTTTCCATTATGAATACATTTTGCTTGTTATTTAATAAAGAATGTCATTTCTATTTGTTATAGTTTTGCAGTGGCAGTTTAAAAACCCAAGTTTAAAATATATTTATGGAGAAAAAACTCAGTCTAACTTTACACTTAGAGAAACTTGAAAAAGAACAACAGAGCCTAAAGTGAGTAGAAGGAAGGAAATAATAAAGATCAGAGCAAAAGTAATTGAAATAGAGTCTAAAAAGTTATACAAAAAAATCACTGAATCCAACAGCTGGTTCTTTGAAAAGATAAACAAGATTGACAAATCTTTAACCAGACTCATCAAGAAAAAAAAGAGAGGACCCGAATAAATAAAATTAGAAATAGAAGTGGAGAAATAACAACTGACACCAAAGAAATATGAAGGATTATAAAGTATATTTATGATCTAGAGGGCCTTTTCCAGCTCTAAAATTTTGTTACATCCATATAATAAATTTATAATATAATTTTCTGATTCTCCTGTTAACATTACACAAAACATTTTATTCTGGTATAATGTCCAATGTACACATTCCACGGGTTTTTGAGTGTTGATTTTCTTTTTAATGAATGCTGATTTTGAAATTTAAAACAGAAAACAGTCATGTTTTTTATAGTCTAGTGTCCAAGCTATATTTGTGGCTTATGAAAATTATTTTATGGCTTTTCTGAAAACTGCATACAGCTGCCACACAACTTTTCATTTACCTTACTACTAAAATGTAAAACTCAATGATAAAATATATAACAGATTAAGAAGATTGACTTAAATGTTAAATGTAGCTTATATTTACTTGTACTTTATTGGCATCTAATACCTATTCTTTCATTTAAGGAAGGATATATTCATCTTTTCTCATGTCATGTTTTTCTTGGTTTTGTGGGGTTAGTTAAAATGTTTATAGAAATGTTGTTACTAAGATCAGGTATCATTGATATTCTTGTTTGTGAAACATATACTAACAGGATCATAGAAATGGGTACTAATTAAATTGCTTCTGTCCTTAAAGATATGTATGCCACTGTCTTCAAGAAGCTCATGACTTCTGGGGATCCACGTGAGTCAAAATTGTCATATTGTAAATAGCTGCAACTTCCATTTCCTTTTCTTTTTCCTCCTTCTCCTACTTGTCTTTGGGCACATTTGCTTAAAGGTAGGACAGGAAAAATGGAGCTGTGAAAAAGGAGGCATAAGAGCCTTTGTGGGTGGTCTTTTTATGTAAGTATGTGAGGTTCCAAGGATTATGTGGGATTTACACCTTCCTTCTAAATGCACATAGAGAACCAAGTGAAAGTTGGTGGTCAGGTAACAATTGAATTGCTTTTATATATTCTGTCATAAAATTAGAATACAAGCTTTTTAGTCCCACCCTCATTTTGTCACACACAGCTCTTCACCTGGCATCCTGTGCTTCGAAGATACTAAATCATTTATATAAATTCTTAACATAACCAGTTAGTTAATGCTTAGCCAGGACTTTAACCTAAGTCTCCAAACTCCAAGTCCAACTTTATACCTAGTATGAAAGAATTAATCAGGTCAACTAATGTGCCTGTTTTTATCTCCAAAACATAATGGAGGCAAGTTTATTGGGGAATATTTCAAAATAGATAATTTGTCAAGCTCCATACTTTGTTGTTTTAGACTTGAAGTTAGTCCTAGAATTGCTAGTTGTTTAAAACTAATTACTTATGTATTGGGATGGCCAAAAAGTCTCTTTAGTTGTTTCTGTAAAATAAGTCATTTTTCATTTTCATCAGTAACTTTATTGATTTGGGATGTTTTGAGTATGTTGGCTATCTCTCACTATTGGCTTCTAGTGAGTAGAGGCCAGGGGTGCTGCTAAACATTTTCCAGTGCATAAGACAGCCCCACAGCAAAGAATTACTTAGCCAAAATGTCAGTAGTACCGAGAAACTTCACAAACCACTTTTGACACATTTGATCAGTCACAGCACCTTCTCCATATACTGCACAAATCTTTTTTTGCATTTCAGTAGTGTTTCTTGAAATAGTAAAGCATAATAAGCTAAAAATGTTGCTTATTTTCTTCCATCTTCAGTATTAAAATAGCTGTACAAAAGTTCACCAATTTTGATTTTTTAAAAATGAATGCTGGTATGACAGCTGTTAGAATACAATCTAACAAAATTGTTTCAAATGAAGTTAAAGACAACTAAGCACCACTAGAGCCATCCTAGGGGAAAAGAACTTAAATGAACTTTTTGGCCAACCTAAAACTTACAAGACCTTATCACTAGCCTCAAATGCTAGTATTTATGATTATTAAATCATAAATATGTGCTAATTACAAAAATGAAAAATTAACCTAAGTTGTCCATGATATAACTGAAAAACAATTTGTTTATTTAGTAAAGAGTTTGTTTTGTATCTTCTATGAAAGAATGTTTGCTGTCAACTTAATGAGATTTAATAGTCAGGGTATATATACTATAACAGGTATGAAGCATATCTGCATCTCTTTCAATTTAATGACTTGATTTAATCCAAAATTTAAATTCTTCACACTATAGGTAAATTTGACTAATCATAGCTCTGTAATTTCTATATATGACTAGCTTGAGAATGATACTTTGGTTGCTTGTAGTAGCCACTTTTATCATGACAAAGGTACTGTGTTTATTTAGATTGTGTATTAAATAAGAATGAATTTTCCTGGCTGGTGTAGCTCAGTGGATTGGGGGCAGGCTGCAAACGAAAGGATCCCTAGTTTGATTTCCAGTTAGGGCACATGCCTGGGTTGTGGGCCAAGTCCCCAGTGGGGTCCACATGCGGGGCAACCACACATTCTCTCCCTCTCCTTCTCCCTCCCTTCCTCTCTGTATAACAATAAATAAATAAAATCTTTTAAAAAAAAGAATGAATTTTATGGAAGTTTATCAGATAAAAAATAAGTAATCTTAATTATTTTATAAATCAGGATGTGTTTTTTATTTTATTTTTAGGATCTGATTTTTAAATGAGGTCCTGTGAAGTAGAACATTTTAGTAGCTAGTTTGTTTTTAACATTGTTTAGTGTTTACTGCATGACTAGTTTTCTTGGTTATCTAGATTATTTTTCTTTACATATGAAATCATCTTTCTGAATAAAAGCTTAGCCAAACTGTAGGAAATGCAATCTTTTCATACTGAAATGAAGTACAGTATGTAATTCCATTTGTTTGTAAGATAAGACTTGTCCTTCTTAAGATCACCAGACATGCTGTGCCAAAAGACAAACAGCAGTAACTTGCATAAACTTTCAACAAATCTAGATTAACAGTAATGTTTTACAAATAAATTATCACCATGAAAGGAGTAGGCAGGTATTGGGGTGTGTACAGCTGCAGAAATTGGGGGTGGGGGGTGAGGAACCTGAGAATATGGCTCTTCAGGTGTATTATGATCCCAAAGGTAATCAAGAGTTGGATTTGGCTTTCATGAGCAGGCATTTGAATATGAATTGATCAGATGCCCTTGATAAAGCACTACTATGCATACATTTCTACAAAAAGATTTCAAAATGTGGTATTTGTTTTTAAAAGAGTTTGTATATACCAGGCATATAAATCATGGTGAAATGTATTGGCCAGTGTTGACTTTTTTCTGCTTATATTTTAGCTTTATTTAGATATAACTCACATTCCATAAAACTCAGCCATCTGAAGTGTACACTTTATTGGGGTTTAGTATATTCCAAAGTTATGCAACTACCATAATCCAATTTTAGAACATTATTATCATATCAAAAAGAAACCCCATACCCATCAGCAGTCACTGTTCATACTCTGTTCCCCCCAACCACAGGCAACCACTAGTCTACTTTCAGTTCTGTGGATTTGCCTCTTGGACATTTCATGTACATGAAATCATACATGTCATTTTTGGGGTCTTCCCTTCCCCTAAGCATAAGTTTTTAAAGTTCACCCATGTTGTAGCATGAACCAATACTTCATTCTTTTTGTGGCTGAATAAGATTCCACTATATTTTTAATTAGTTCATCAATTGACGGACATTTCAGTTCCTACTTCTTGGTGATTATGAATAACATTGTCTAAACATTCTTGTACAGATTTTTGTGTAGATGTATATTTTAATATCTCGGATACACACACATATATACATATACATCATATACATATACACACAGAAGTGGAATTGCCTCTCTATTTAACCACTCGAGGAACTGATAAATTTTTCTGAAGTAGCTGAGCCATTTTGTATTCCCAGCAGTAATGTTAGAGGGTTTTTAATCTCTCTGCATCTCCCCAATGCTTGTTATTATCCATCTCTTCTTATCATAGCCATCCTAGTTAGTGTATAGTAATATTTCATTGTCATCTTCATTTTTCTAAGATGTCGAGCATCTTATCACATACTTGTTATTGATGACTGTTGATTTTGTGTATGTAGACTTTTTGCTGTCTAGATGTTTGTGTATGTTTTAATGCACTCTACAGTTATCCAGTATTTAGGCTCTGTATTCTATATAAAATAACACTATAGGCATACCTGGTGAGACTGCAGGTTTGTTTGATTCCATACCACTGCAATAAAGCAACTGTTGCAGTAGTGAGTCGTGCTACTGTATTGGTTTCCCAGTGCATGTAAAAGCGATTCCTGGTCAGGACACATATCTAGGTTGTAGGTTCCATCCCCAATTGAAGTGTGTATGGGAGGTAATTAACCAACAGATCTATGTTTCTTTTTCATGCAGTCCATGTCTCCCTCTTCTCCCTCACCTGCACCCTCCCTCCCCCATCCCTTTTGTCTTTAAAAGCAATGAAACGATGTCCTTGGGGGAGGATAAATAAAATGAAATGCTTCATAAAAGTATCAGCCATCATCTGAGCCTTCAGTTAGTTGTAATCCTTTTGCTGTAGGGGTGGTCTTACCTCAGTGTTGATGGTTGCTGACTCATTAGGGTGGTGGTTGCTGAATGTTGGGGTGTTTGTGGCAATTTCTTAATATAAGACCATAATGAAGTCTGCTACATTGATTGAGTCTTTCTTTCTCAAATGATTTATCTAAAGCACATGATGCCGTTTGATAGTATTTACCCACAGTAGAATGTCTTTCAGAATTGGGAGTCCTCTCAAACCCTGCTGCTGTATTATCAACTGTTTATGTTACATTCTAAATCATTTGTTGTCATTTCAGTAATCTTCACCAGGAATAGATTTTTAACTCAGGAAACTTTGATATGAAACAGGTTATCATCCATTGAAGTTCTGTCATGAGATGGTACTAATTCAGTCACATCTTCAGGCTACACTTTTCATTCTAGTTCTCTTCTATTTCCACCAATTCTGTAGTTACTGCCTCCACTGAAGTCTTGAACTTCTCAGAGTCATCCATGATGATTGGAATCAGCTTTTTCTAAACTCTTGTAATGTTGGTATTTTTACCTCTTTCCATGAATCACAAATATTCTTAATGGCATTTAGAATGTGAATCCTTCCCAGAAAATTTGCAGTTTACTTTGCCCAGATCTGTTACTATCTATGGCAGCTATAGCCTTATGAAATATATTTTTTAAATAATAAGACATGAAGATTGAAATTACTATTTGATCTGTAGGCTGAGAACAAATGTTAGGATAATAGGCATGAAAACAATAGTAATCCATATTATATCTCCATCAGAGCTTTTTGGTGACCAGCTACATTGTCAATGAGCAGTAACATTTTGAAAGGAATCTTTTTCTCTGAGCAAGACGTCTCAGCAATGGGCTTAAAATATTTAGTAAACTATTTTGTAAACAGATATGCTGTCATGTAGGCTTTATTGTTCCACTTATGGAACACATACAGAGTATATTTAGCATAATTTTTAAGGCCTCAAGGAAATTTGGAATGGTAAATGAGCACTGGCTTCATTAGCCCCTAATGAGAGTCAGCTTGTCCTTTGAAACTTTGAAGCCAGGCACTGAGTTCTCCTCTCTAGCTATGTAAGTCCTACATGGCCTCCTCTTCCAGTGTAAGGACATTTCATCTGTGTTGAAAATCTGTTGTTTAGTTTAGCCAACGTTATTAATTATCTTAGCTAGATCTTCTGGACAACTTGTTACAGCTTCT